CGTAAACACCCCACGCTTCGTCTCGAGGTGCACAGCCGCGCATACACGTAGACACCCAGCGCACACTGCCCTCCACGTCACACTCCCAAAAGACCACGCAACACAGTTTTTTTTTTTCCCCCCACTAGCGAATTTTATTTACCTGTGATGGTATGGTCAGTGGATGCTAACCTATCCCTCAGAGGTCTACGAGTCAGTTTCCCCTACCGCTCACCCCGCTCTCTATCCTGGATGTAAAACGGCTGAACTTACGCCTCTCTCACTCGTACTTACTTCTCCCCGATGTACTGACCGCTGTGAGGGAATGAGGCGACGAGCCTGCCGATGCTGGAGTACGTCTCACGGACGTCTCGGATGGCTGACTCTCCTGCTCCCGGGACCGCGATGATCTTGAACCAGAAGAACCCCCTTGCTACCCCGATCCCCCTCCTTTTTATCCTACCTACAACAAAGGAATTTTTGCTCTTTCCGACCCTTGGCCTCCCGTCCAATCAGGCGCTCAGATTCTGCCGCCCTTTCGATGTCCGGATCCCAGCTCAGATGACGTCGCCGCATTGATCTCACCGACGTCCGCTCTCTGTTCTCCCGCTACCAGTACACTGACCCGTGCATGTGTGAGGCTCCACTCGCGGTGGTTCCATGGCCCTTGCCGCGACCATGCAACTTTAATATCAGGTCGCGGCGCCGCAGTGCATGTCAGCTACAGGGGGAAAAATCGCCCAATTTCCCGGCCGCAGGAAACCATGAAGTTCGATCCCACTAGGGACTTCTGGACAAAAACCTATCAGCCGGGTGACCTCCCCTCCTGGCTCAACGTGGGGCGTGTGTACTTTCGTGTGGGCGGGGGGGGTGGTGAGGGGGCGCAGCGTCGGCGTCGACATCCTCCGGTGGCGGCTTTGCGGCGGTGGGCACGACCTCGGCAGAGTGGCCCTGCTGCAGCGGCCTCACGACTGTGCAGGGGCCAAAACACGGACGTCTGAGAAAGCACCGGCCCAAGGAGAGTGGCGGGAAATCCGCGGCATAGCTGATGGTGCCGCGGTAGTGGGCGCGGTTCCGCTGGAGCGGCTCCGCTGCGGCGGCACCACAAAAGTACGATTAAAACGTTAAATCTAAAATTTCGGTGACAACGGACCGTTGACAGGACGCGCAGTCCTCACCATAGCGCGAAAGTAGGAATCGCGTGCGCGCGAGCCAACATTTAAATTGAAAATATTTAGCTGGACTTAAATATAAGTAGTCTGTTGAAGCATTTTGTCTTGCAAAAATTCGAGTGCGTTTTAAATAGTGAAGACAATCATCGTATCTTGCCCTGACCGAACAATTTCTCCCAACTGTTGGTTGTTCACTTGTTTTGAATTAGAATTTTAATCGTGAACATTGTCGTAGATTGCGTAAGTTACCTACATTGAAGAAATGATATTCGTGGTAATTTATCAACTAGATGCATTTAAGTATGAACGTATTGATTCCAGACAACTTTACTCAATTTGCCTCCTTTCGCTCGTTCCGCCTTTTCACAATTTTTTTTGTTTTGTAAAAATTGTGGTGCACCATCTAAACTTCTCAATTAAAAATAATTTACATTCGTAATTATCGCATTGTTTTTGCAATGTCTTTCTTATCTTCATCATTAAACCTCCTTTGCCAGTGCCAAAATGTTCTATAAATTATAGTATGTTTTTTGTTTGCATTTTGACTGCAGGTATTGTGGTTAATGCATACATGAATCCTTGTAATAAGGTTTCAGTTTTGTTGCAAGAAAAAAAGGGGAAAAAACCCTTTTATTAAATTATTTTCTTACTTTGGGACTAGTTGGTGACATTCACTCAACTATTGTGTTGGAAGCCGATTAGCTGCACACGATTTAAAAGTTAGTTCATCTTGTTTTATTTGAAAACAAGACCTTATTCACTCCACGTGCAATCTCGCAACAGATCGCGTCCCTCTCGCGTTCGCTGCGGGTGTGCCGAAATCATTACAGAGTGCTTCGAAGAAGGGTCTTTGCCCGAAACGTCTCATTATACATTTCAAGGAAGTGTTATTGACGACGGTGGAGGGTTTACTTCGTCACAGAGTTAAAGGTCAGAGGTTTAAGGCAGACCCATCGCGGAGGGCAGAGGTGGTCGGTGACGTCACCACGCTCCGGGTATAAAGGCAGCTGCTGCAGGCTGGGCGCGCCATCTCTCGCGAGCTTTGTCAGGAGTAGCAGAGTTAGTCGCCATGTCTGGACGCGGGAAAGGCGGTAAGGGGCTCGGTAAGGGAGGCGCAAAACGCCATTGTAAGGTGCTGCGCGACAACATCCAGGGAATCACTAAGCCCACCATCCGCCGCCTCGCTCGCCGCGGCGGTGTGAAGCGCATCTCGGGCCTCATCTACGAAGAGACCCGCGGCGTCCTGAAGGTCTTCCTTGAGAACGTCATCCGCGACGCCGTCACCTACACGGAGCACGCCAAGCGCAAGACCGTCACCGCCATGGACGTGGTCTACGCCCTCAAGCGCCAGGGCCGCACTCTCTACGGCTTCGGAGGCTGAGTGCCCATATCTCGCGCACTAAAACCAACCCAAAGGCTCTTTTCAGAGCCACCCACCTCTTCTAAACTGCTTGCGCGCCAGTGTTACCAAATCATTAACGAAAGAAACATTATAAATGGGTTGTTGCTCGCCAATTCCTCGTGAGCGTGGACAGGGCTCTTCTCGTGGACGCGCGGTGGCTCGAGGTGCCGTCTGCTGCCGCTCAACTCGGTTACGATGTTTTCTTGTTCATGTTTTTTGCGTGTTGCGGTTGCACCCGATTCAAGCGCCGAATGGTTCACAGGGCTTTACCAAATAAATGAAACTGAGAACTGAGGATCACGCAGAGATCCTTTGCTTGTTGCGTTAGCGAATCTTCATCTGCTTCCAAATGAATGAAAGAAATCACAATTTTCAAGATACGTCACATTTAACAAGGCGAAATTCTTGAACGCGTTAATACAGTACACATTTCTGGTATTTTTGCGTGAATTATTTTCATCTGCAGCCGATTCCGATATTACGTAGAGCATTTGGCGCCACAATCTTACAGCACACTCGTCCTAATTGACGGAGCGCGCCAGAATGCTAATATCCACCCGTAAAATACAGCACAACAGTGAAAGTTATTTTTCTACATCGAGCGCTTGTATTTTTTCCAAATTGCGTTCATAAAACGCCCGTGCTGTATTATACGAGTTGTGAAACAAAAAAGAAGCAAAAAAGCCACGCACAAAAAAACACTATACTGTATTGGGTTTTCTAGTCATTTTTTTTAAAAACAAAAGCAATGCCATGGCTGCAATTCACTAATATACATGTTTGGACATTACATTGTGTTATATTCACAAGTCTTTTTTGCAGTAAAAAAAATAACGATATTAAAGTGAACATCGCGTCCGCGTTTCTCATTGGAGGCTGATGGAGAGGGATGGTACTTAAAGAGCAACTCCGCAGCGCCGCACACTACGATCCTCTGATTTGCATCTCGCCTCCTATAAAAGGAGATCAACGCGCGTCCGACAGGCACACTCGTTCTCGTCCTTTCTGACGTACCACAGCTGTACGCGTCGACATGCCCGATCCTCCGCATCAAAGAGCGCTGGGCCGGCAAAGGTTCCTGCCCCCAAGAAGGGCTCCAAGAAGGCCGTGACCAAGGCTACGCGCAAAGATGGCAAGAAGCGACGCCACCGCAGGAAGGAGAGCTACGCCATTTACATCTACAAGGTGATGAAGCAGGTGCACCCCGATACCGGCATCTCGTCCAAGGCCATGAGCATAATGAACTCGTTCGTCAACGACATCTTCGAGCGCATCGCTTCCGAGGCGTCCCGCTTGGCACACTACAACAAGCGCTCCACCATCACCTCTCGGGAGATCCAGACCACATTGCGACTGCTGCCCCCCGGCGAGCTGGCCAAGCACGCTGTGTCGGAGGGCACCAAGGCTGTCACCAAGTACACGAGCTCCAAGTGAAGCCTCGACTCAACCATTAATTACAAAGGCTCTTTTCAGAGCCACCCACATCTCCGAACCTGCTTGTGCCAGTGTTAGCAGGAGCGCAAAACGAAACTGCAAACATAGAGCACTTGTCCAGGGTTTTGACGTTGAGCGCCAATTTCTCGTCAGCGTAGACCGGGCTGGAGTCGCAGCCAGGCGCTCGGGACTCGCGGTGACGCGAGGCGCCGTCTGCTGCTGCCGGAATGCAGCAGCGGCCCTCGCTCTCGGTTCACGCGGACATCGTTCATTGAGTGAAATGGAGAGATCCGGCGCATTTTTACCTGTACCCACGTGAAAAAAAGCAATAACAATATTTATGCCACATATTCACCATTGATTTCATCTGCAGCCGATCCAGATATAACATTGGATATGTGGCGTCATAACCTTGCACTGCAATATATTTAATTCCTGGTTGTCACGGCAAAGCATAGTGTGAACGCAATTTCGGAATAAGCGACAATTTCTCATGGGGCGAATTTATACTTCAGTGATCGTGATTTTTATTTTTTACAAGAAGTGAAATACAACCTAGTTTAAATGTATTTTCGGGCACGAACTAACATTTTGCACGTATATATCAAAGTAAGCGCCTAGCATGGATGACTCGTGCAGTATAACTGATGATCATCTCAATGCCAAGATAATAGATATATATCCCTGTGATCACCTCTTTCCGGCATTTTTGCGTATTATTGTTTCCAATAAAGTGCAGTTTCTTCACTTTATTTAGTTTTCGGAAAGGTTTTTGCTTGAGAAAAGAAAATCCGTTAAAGACATCAACGGCGCTCAAAGGTAATACTGCATTGTGATGCGGCATTCTGAAATGATACAAACTATGCACATTTTGTTGATTAAGAAGAGGAGTTCACGACTCGAGATCAGTGCACGCTGCCAACCAACCAGCACGCACCCCTTCGCACGTCACGACTCCGCTGACCAGTGAGCGCACGCTCTGCGCTACATAAGCCGTCTTCTCCCCGCCTGTGAGAATATCTTTGCTCTCACAAAGCCATGGCTCGCACCAAGCAGACGGCTCGTAAGTCCACGGGCGGCAAGGCTCCACGCAATCAGCTCGCCACAAAGGCAGCCCGAAAGAGCGCTCCGGCCACGGGCGGCGTCAAGAAGCCTCACCGCTACAGGCCCGGCACCGTCGCTCTGCGCGAGATCCGCCGCTACCAGAAGTCCACCGAGTTGCTCATCCGCAAACTGCCCTTCCAGCGCCTCATCAGGGAGATCGCGCAGGACTTCAAGACCGACCTGCGCTTCCAGAGCTCCGCTGTCATGGCTCTGCAGGAGGCCAGCGAAGCGTACCTTGTTGCGCTCTTCGAGGACACCAACCTGTGCGCCATCCACGCCAAGCGCGTCACCATCATGCCCAAGAACATTCAGCTCGCCCGCCGTATTCGTGGCGAGCGCGCTTGATCGCCCAGCTCGGCCCTCAAAGCACAACATAAAGGCTCTTTTCAGAGCCACCACTTTCGCATGAAAAAGCTAACTTGTGTGTCCTTTAAAGTCCGCATGCCTGTTACGGCGACCTTCGTTTGCCAGTCACGGCAATCATGAGTTGCAAGGCTTAAGCGACCAAGTTCATTTTCTATACCCCTCTGCTCATATTTTGCAATATCACAAGTCCGTGTTGTATTTAAGCGTTGTGAAACCATGTCTACATAATGTACAGTAAACGGCTGATTTCGGTGAAATACATGAACTAATAAACGCTGTTTAAAACTCAAGCTGAAAATACGTTCGCATTTTGCAAACTAAGAGACTGAGTTATTCACGCACATATATTTCTAGGCATTTGCCCGAATAGGCGGTTAAATTAATATATACACACCATATAGGCGCGTGGGATATCAATCATGAGCTCAAGGCTATCACTATGATTTCTTATAACAAATTATGTCCCTCAAATGATGATTATAAATAATACATTGATAGTGGCGGAATCAGCTTGCCGCTGAATTTGTTTACGGTTAACTCTATCATGCTTAATACTTGAACCTATTAAGTACGTGTATCGCATCGTTTCATTCATAAGATGTGTCCGCATACAAATTATATATATGGATATATAATACTGGTAGGAACAAAGTTGTAAACTGAGTGTACCAGCCTGCAATAGATTACTGTGTCCGTCCGTCCGTCCCCTTTCAATACTATAACGAAGTGAAATCTCGTGCTGTTGGGGTGTAAAAATAAAATTGCGACAAATTTCAATGTTCCTACCAGCCCACCCTGCAGGGACCTGTTTAAATTCAACATCGAATCCTCGCGTCCCGGCTTTTCATTGATCTCTCAGGAGAGGGCGGGACCGACCGAGAGGAGCCATTCAGCAGCGACGCGCTCTACGATCCTCTTCTCAGCTATAAATGTCGCTCAAGGGGGTGCCGATGATCATCACAACTCGTTCTTGCTTATTCCCCAGTGCTTTTAGTTTTCTCGGTCCCTAACCATGTCAGGACGCGGCAAGACCGGTGGCAAATCTCACGCAAAGGCAAAGTCCCGCTCTTCCCGCGCCGGCCTGCAGTTCCCCGTGGGCCGCGTTCACAGGCTGCTCCGCAAGGGCAATTACGCCCAGCGGGTCGGCGCTGGAGCACCCGTCTACCTGGCAGCCGTGCTCGAGTACCTCTCTGCCGAGATCCTCGAGCTGGCTGGCAATGCCGCCCGCGACAACAAGAAGACGAGGATCATCCCCCGACACTTGCAGCTCGCCGTGCGCAACGACGAGGAGCTGAACAAGCTCATGGGCGGCGTGACCATCGCCCAGGGCGGTGTGTTGCGAAACATCCAGACCATGCTGCTGCCCAAGAAGATCTCTCAGGCAAAGAAGTGAACGCGCCGCCGCCTCTACCACCACAACAACGGCTCTTTTTAGAGCCACCCACTTGCTTGCAAAGAGCTTGGACAGTCGTACACAGGGGTTGTGTTATTAGTAAGGGCACCGTCGTCTCGTGGCCCTCGTCCCAAATGACTCGCAATTAATCGAATGCTCTGCTCATTATAAATACCCCTTTTCTCTAATTTAGGAACGGCGTTTGAGCAGCATTCCAACATTGTCTGTCCTACCAGACAGTCTCGCCCCTTCACCTGATGAAGGCCGCTTGTGTTGTGGCCGAAACGTCGTGAGAATATTATTGTGTTATTTTATTTTATCAATTTATTATTTTATTCTCATTCTACGTGACTTTACCGAAAGAACCAAAGAAGATGAATAATTGCAGTCACGAAAGCTTTAAATCGAAATCATAAAACATGGTTTAGAATAAATTGAGGGCGTTAGTATTTTAAGAAAGTAGTCTTTTTCAGAAAAAAAACGTTCTTTTTGAGCGGTCAGATTACATAGGCTATTTGACTCCATCACCTTACAGTACAGACGCACGAATTGACCGAATTTTTTTTTCGGAAATGAGCGATGGAGGGCTTAAAAGGGACTGGAACGTGTGTTGCTGTGCGTTGGTGCAATAAATAAGTGCTTTAACCATTCTACAACTCCTTCACAATGAATAATTTACTACTGTTATGAGTTATAATGAATGATTCACACGTGACATAAGTAGCGTAGGATTTCGAGGTTTTTTTTGCATCGTTATGAACACCTTGGTACTTTTCTCACCTTCAAACAAATGAAGAGGAGTCGTAGAATAGTTGAAACACTGCTTGATTTCACCAACGCACAGCAACACCCGTTCCAAACCAACCCCTAACACGCGTCCCACAGCCCCCTTTAACCTCTCCGCCCTTGCTCCCAATACACATCCACGTCTGGTACGCCTCTGAACCTGGTGACGTTATTTTCCCTTTAACCCCTGACCCGTCCAGCTTATTCCCACGCGTGTGATTGGTGCGTGTTCCTGAGAGCGGAGATGTCGTGTCTGGGTGGTGCATGTGCGTAAGGGTGGCTCGCAGATCCCTTACACAATAAATTCCATTAACAGATTGCTTGCGTACTCCTTGAAATGATGGGTCGGATCCTCGCTGCACTTCGACTCGTCACAAGGACGTTCGAGTGGCTGGGAAGTCGACGGGCCCGAGCCTGGCTTGAGTACAATACGAACTAACTCTATCCCTACCATCTCTCCTATTTTTTTAAAGTCCTCTACATCAAAGATAAATCGGCGCTAATCCGCTGGCCTCCCGTCCAATCAGGTGCCTCGGATTTCCCGCCACTCTCCCCCGACCGGTGCTCTTTTGATGCCGCCGCCACGGAGCCGATCGGCGGGTAGCCCACCTGCGAGCTCGCCGCCCCTGAGCGGCGAGGCCGACACTGCTTCCACCTCACCCCCCCCCCCCCCCCACCGAAACACACACGCACGCATTCCCCCCACCATTATAGCGCGTGGGGAGACACCCTGGCCGACAGGTTTTCACCCAGAAGCCCTCGTTAAGGGATAATCTTCACCGTTTCCGGCAGCCAGGGAATTGGACGGTCTCCTCCGACGCTAACACACACCGTGGCGCCGTGACTTGAGTAGAAATGACATGTTCACGGCGGGGCTGCCCCGCCACCGCGGTTAGTACGCACCTCACGCACACGGGTCGGCAGGGCAGGTAGGGGGTAGGGCGGAGCCACGAGCGGCGGGAAAGCAGGGTCGCCCTCTGGTTGGATGGCCGCTGAGCAGGTAAATTTAGATGCGGACGTCGCTGAAAGCAACGGCCCGGGGATGCTGGGATACAGATGGGCCTACCGATTGGCGAGGGATCCCATCGAGCTGATTGGCCCGCGAGTCGGCACCAGGTAGCCCCATTGATATAGAAAGAATAACGCGGGTCAGGGCGAGGGGCAAAGGCGCTCTGGCTGCTCGAGTCAACCCCAGGCCCGTCAACTCCCGAGTACAGCCGCGCGAACGTCCGTGGGATGTATCGACGTGCCGCGAGGACCAGCCGACAGTAGCGACGAACCGTGAGTAAGAGTGGGAGAGAAAGAGGGAGTTGGGTCATAGCTTAAAAAGAAAACCTGAAAGGGTTAAGTGGAGAAGGACAGGTAGAGTATAGTGCCGACTATCGAGAGATAGATTGGTCCTGCCCCGCTGATCCCGACTGACTCGGTTAAATAAGGGCTCGCCGACCCGGTGGAATAAATCGTCGGCGATCCAATAACGGACTGGTGTGGTTTTTGCGAGTGTGTGGAAAGAGAGTGGAAGCGTGGGTGCGCTTGCTGTTAGCGGTGGTCGCCGCGTGTGTGGAGCGGCGTCGCGTGGGGTGTGTGCGCTACAAACCCTCGGCTGCGGACTCCCACGTTGCGAGCGGATACCCATCTCGCACGCCTGCCCATCGCATAGCCCTTTAAATCCATTTAATCCAATCCCCGCAATCGCCGGCGTGGGAACGAGTGACGTCGCTTACCCTCTGACCTCTAACCCCCTGTTACCCGCGTGTGATTGGTGCGTGGGACTGCGCGGGTGGGGAGCGTCGCGTTCGAGTGCCGGCGAAGCGCTAGCGGGTCTCAGGGCGGTCGAGAGTGATGCCTTACCGGCAGGAAACCCGGACTCGGGGGGGGACAGCCCAGGGGGGTGAACAGGAGCACGGCGACCCTTCCCCGCCCGGTGAGGAGTGCAGCGGCGGCAGCTGCCACACTAGTGGAGAGTCAGGGGGCATCGGTACTTCGCGGGCAGGGTCGCAGGCAGGAGAGATCCCGGGGGCCGACGACCCTAACATAATGGTGTCAGAGGTGGTACGATCCTCCGCACCCCGAAGGGAGAGAGGCGCCCCACCCCAGGCTAAAATAAAATGCACGTTCACGGGCAAGGAGATTCCGTCAAGGAAATCGTTTGCCCGCAGCATCAGAGGTGCGAAGAATTTTAATGGCTGGACGCACGCGGAGGCGTTGCAGCAGCTGGAGCCGAATCGCCCCCGCTTCACACCCGTGGCAGCTACCCTGACGACGGCCGTCGCCATCGGGCCGCTCGCCGAGATGCTGGTGCCTGTGGCGACACCCTCCACCGACCCCGCGCACCGACCATCGGGGGAGGTAATGCTAACTCCTCACCCGGAGTTGGCAAAACGATACGGGGTTGTGGGGTCAGCCACATTGGTAAACGCCGATGGGGGCCGATTGTTTATGCGTGTGTTTAACCCCCACGGCACCCCGGCAATACTGCGACGGCGCACCACAGTAGCCACCGTGCACCCCCTACACGCGCGCCACTCCAGCGACTCGGTATTCGCACTCTGGGCGGAGGACCCCGGTCGCCCCGAGGACCACCAGGACCTGGCCTGGCGAGTCGACCCGACTCCCCACGCCGAGGTCGTTCCCCTGCTTGACGCGTTACACGTAAATTGGGCAGATTTACCCAAAGGAGAGGCCGATCAGCTACGCGGGTTACTGCAGGAGTACGCCGACGTGTTCAGCGAACACGATTCGGACGTGGGATGCACAGATCTCGTTAAGCACCAAATCGACACCGGGGCCGCCCGACCCATAAAACTCCCCGCGTACCGCGTGGGCGCACCCGAACGCGCCCAGATCAAAGGGGCGGTCAGGGACATCCTCCGCGATAACATATTTCTGCCCTCGGCGAGCCCCTGGTCTGCCCCGGTGGTACTAGTAACGAAAAAGGACGGGTCAACCCGGTTTTGCGTCGATTACCGCAAATTAAACGCAGTCACCCTCGGCGACGCCTTTCCCATACCGAGCATCGACGACACCTTTGACAGCCTCGCCGGAGCGTGGTATTTTTCCACCCTCGATCTCGCGTCCGGGTACTGGCAGGTGGAGATGACGGAGGAGGATCGGCCGAAAACCGCATTCACCACCCCGATGGGACTATTCGAGTTTCGAGTACTCCCGTTCGGGCTCACAAACGCGCCCGCGACATTCCAGCGGCTGATGGAGTTGGTAATGTGGGGCTTGCAGTGGGAGCAATGCCTGATTTACCTGGATGATGTGATCGTGTTCAGTAGATCTCTGTCTGAGCACTGGTCCAGGTTACGGGAGGTGTTCATGCGACTGCGAGCGGCTCATCTGAAGCTCAAGCCGCGTAAGTGTTACATCTCACAGCGCGAGGTAGGGTACCTCGGACATCGCGTCAGCGAGGCAGGGGTGCGCACCGATCCGGACATAGGTACGTGCCGTAGTGGATTGGCCACAGCCAAGGAACCTGATGGAGATAAGATCATTTTTGGGGCTCGCCACCTATTATCGTCGATTTGTAAAGGGATTCAGCGAGATTGCACGCCCCCTCACCCAACTCACTTCCCCCAAGAGCCCCTATCAGTGGACGGAGGCCTGCCAGACGGCCTTTACCACCCTCAAATACCACCTCACCCACACCCCCACCCTGGCTTTCCCCGATTTAACCACCGACTTTATTTTGGACACCGACGCCTGCAGCAGCGGGCTGGGTGCGGTGTTGTCCCAGGTGCAGGAACGGATGGAACGGGTTATTGCGTACGCCAGCCGGACCATGAGCGGGGCCGAGCTGAACTTCTGTGTGACCCGTCAGGAATTGTACGCTGTGATCTTCGCGTGTAAACAGTTTCGGCCGTATTTGTATGGCAGGAAATGTCGGGTGCGCACGGACCATTATGCTCTGCAGTTCCTCCTCACCTTCAAGGAACCGCGGGGGCAGATGGCCCGATGGCTGGCGCAGCTGCAGGAGTACAACCTGCAAATCGAGTACTGGGCGGGACGGACGCATGCAAACGCGGACGCCTTATCACGGCGACCCGCGGTGTGTGCCGAGACGAGGGCGGAGGAGGCCTGCCCGTGCTTCACGGGGGGACGTTGCCGACAGGCAACGGACCCCCGGGAACCCGCTGAACATAACCCCCCCCCGGCGAGAGAGAGTGCGGTATGCGCTACAGAGACCCCACAGGTGGAGGCACGGACCCAGTCGACCGCCCGGCAAG